TCATCGACAGAAATGTGAAGATCAACTCCGAGGTCCATCAAAAGGTAGTTTTAATGGACGCTCTGCTACTCTGGATCACTGAACACTTTCGTAACCGATCATTCGTCCATCAGCAAGAATGGGCCTCTCCTCATGCCTCGAAGTCGACAAAAGCCGTACTGGGCGCGCACTTCCCCGGTTACCGAGGTGAAGGCATCTGACCTTCCTCTCCACCAGATCTCAATTCAATGGACTTCTCTGTATGGGGGTACTTGGAGAGCGAAATTGCAGGACGCTCCTACCGCACGTTTGACGCTCAGAAGTTGGCGCTTCAGAAGGCGTGGGACGATATTGACGCCGACTACCTGCGGCGTACGGTCGATTAAGTCATCGAGAGTCTGAAGGCCTGTGTAAGAGCAAAAGGATCGAACTTTGAACACCTGCTGTCCTAAGTGATCTTGTAGTTCTACTCTATTCCTCATTAAGTTTATTTGTCGCTCTGGTCTCTACCTTTGAAGTTACGCTTACAAATGTGGCGTCCTATACTTTTCAGCCACCCTGTATAGTGCTAATGTTGTCAATTGCCTTTTTAGGAGGAATATTTGGGGTACTGAAGATTATAAAAAGGGAGCAACACTATATATATGATAATGATTACTGACGAAAAAATCTGAAATCCCTAAAATCCTTCGCTATAAGGTGACTGTTACCTTTTTGAAATAAACATTTGTAAAAAATTGGAAAAGCACATCTCGTTTGAAAAGTCGGAATAATCAAAAGTGAGCTTGAAAGGTACTGAAATGAAAAGCGATATCTAAAGCTTCGCGCTGCATCATTCAATAAATAAAGACGCTCATTGGGAAAGTTGCCTGCACTGTAGGGTTTGGTTGAATTCTCGGGTTTTTTTAGAAAATTGGAAATCAAGATTTTAGACAGAAATAAAGAATTAAAAACATATTGAAGATAACAAAGGAACGAAATATATTCTTTCTTTCGGGAAAAAAAGCTTAGGAATCATTTTAAAAAATGAGATTGTACACGCCAGGTCCCAGAAAATCAAGGACCCAACACAGAAAAAGAAGAAGATCTCATAGCTTCCGTCCTTATGCAGCATTCTGAACTTGGCGGTTTTCAAGAAATGTACGGAAAGAGACGAATATTGGAATCAGGTAGGAAATGAGATTGGAATCAGGTATGAAATGAGAAGGATCCTACATTGTGGAGACCATGACAGTCAGCTGGGAAATTCCAGGTTTTTCTTTTCTCAAAGGCACATGGTCACTACAATGAATAACTGAATGAAGCACCGTACGGCCACCTCTTCTCTTTACGTGACTTCTCTTGCACTTACACGGAAGAGTGGAGTCAAAAGGCGTGGCGCCACTGAAACGACTGAATTTTTTTGATAAACTTCACGCCCTTTAGGTAAAAGCCTGCCTGAAAGCCAGCTCTAAAAATGCTCAATTTCAGAAGCGGAGATGCTCCTTTCCTTTATCCAAACGGACGGATGATCTCACCACTGTGAGAACATTTAGAAGATGACAAGATTAAAGATTTCTACTCCGGAATCGCCCTGTAATGTTCTCATTTAAGAACAACATCATATTTATTGATAAGTTTCTGCGGTTCGTTATTGTTCCGTCTATCATTGCAGACTTTCTTTGTCACGTGGTGACTGTCAGGTGGGGGAGGAGAGGGGTGTGACGCTTTGTGGTGGGCGGAGCTTTTGTTACAAAAAGGACCTCTTATCACGAAATTACAACTCACCGAATCTCTTTTCCTCAGTTTTGACTTCAACATTTCATAAATATCCGAAAGAATTCGTTTAATTTCAATAATCGCTGATAGAAAAGAAGCTGCTGGCTACTTTCTGCTACTAGATGGATTCGTTGAACTCCTATTCGTAGCTTGGTCACACAAGCACGGCATGGAAATAATAAGCAGACACGATCGAGCCAGTGCTAACTTCGTTAAAGAATTTTTGTATGATATAGTATAACATAATTACTGGGAAATATGAAAAATTTAACAAAGAAAACTGAAGAGAAATCGAAATTCTTCAATTTATTTAAGAAGTGGACGAGCTAAAGTTGGAAAGGAGTGATGAAAAAACGTTACTGAAATCGTTAGCTATTGCGATGGAATCGAAGAACTTTTGAATCTTACTTGCCAGAGGATTAGTAAAACGTTTTCTTTGCGTCGTTGACGACCAAACGATTACCATTACTGGTTACGATGGCTTTGACAGTGAATATACAAAAAAGCATATCGAATACTACACGGGAAGTGCAAGTGCATTTGATGGGTTCCGGTCGTAATTCACATTTCGAAGGTTATCTCTCCTACTAATTTTTAGGTTCTTTTACTGCCCCAGTAAGGAAATTGAGAGCGTTGATTCGGTAGTTGCTAATAATATATACATATATACATACATATACATATAGTCATATACCTAGAAGATGTGATGATTTTCAGAGCAATGTCATGGTTTTGTAAAGAAATCTCCATGTCAATGAGGTACCTAGGGATTCTTTTCTTGAAAAGACATGGTCATACTCCTCACCGGGATCATTTAGACCACTCCCAAAACTTTTTTATACTCGAGCTATCTTTACCACTCCCTCCTCCCTCTTCGCCATCACCCGTTCCCCTCTTCGCCCTTCCGACTCGAACAGGGTCCTAGGCACAGAACAAAAGAACGCGATTTCTATGATGGTGCGAAAGTCCTAAAGGAACTGAAAACTGAAGTCGAGCCTGAAAGTTTCAAAAGTATTGAACACAATGGTATGCCCAAATGAAGAACGATGATGAGTTTTGGCAATTACTAATCCACCGTGCATCCTGGTACCACTAGCAGACTTTGATACGATCATTAGCATCCGGAATCTATTCCAGTCCGGACTTAACAAATTCCAATTTCGCCGCCGATCTGTTCAGGGAGACAAGTATGCCGTCCGGATGTTGGCCACAAATGGAGAAGTGTTTTTCAACAAAGCCTCCGAACCCTTTCCATCTTTTGCTTGTTGCGTCTAATTCTCCGTGATTTGCGACGATAGGTGTGAATCAGGAACTGTGAATTTGCAAAACCCTCCGATGGGCATGGCTCCGACGATTCTGCCTACCCTCACGTCGGAGATTTCTTGACATACGTATGAAACTGCTCGTACGTCAGCTCAGACGCCGAGGCTTTGTCGTACTACATAATGCCAATTCCTTTTGCACCCTTTCCCGACGTATACACTCTGATACCCCCTTTTGTAGTTTGGCGGTTTTCTCCACGAATATCATCCCTGAACATGGCCTTACTTGGCATGGTGTTGGTATGGATCTGTACTGAATTTTCCCACTTATCCTGCCTATTGCCAGCCCTTTCCCATCTTTTCCCGAATCGCAAAAGACCGAGGATGCCTCTTATCATACTCTCTAAGCCTTTAGTGATTCCTTGCTCGACAACTTTACAATAAAATGAAATTTCTACCCCTTTTGCCTTGCAACTTAGCCCAAGCCGTGAAACGGCTTCGCGTCTTTTAGAGCGTCTCTGGTGCATTTGCAACCAAGTACCCTAATCGTACGCGTTTTCTGAACTTATCATCGCATTCGCCCACTGGTTGTTATTTACTTTCATTTCATTGGTTTTCTCATCATGTTTTCTTTCGTTTCTAGTTGTTTATGGTTCCGAAAGCCTTTTTTTAGGTTAGGACTACAACTTCCGTCAAGCATGAGCAAAAAGTGAGATTCTTCTCGTATTTCTCCAGATGAACACTTATTTCATAAAAGAAGATATTCTCACCACGCCGCTTTGAATTGAGGCAGCTCCTTCAATTTTTCAGAATTCATACCTTATTGAATAGCGGTAAGCAGGATGACGCTGATAGTGGCGAAGAATCGGATGGTGGTGGCGAACGACAAGGTTTTTTTGTTGGTGGCTCCGAACACAGGTGCTTTGGTGGCATTGATTTTGATCCAAAAGTTGTATATACCATCTAAAATCTTTGTATAGTAGAATTATCAAATGTCATTTCTTTCTTTTCCTAAATCTTCCATTTAATGCTGCTTTCAATTAGGTCCCAATGTGAGAAGATTGGACTTCAGCTTTTCTGCTGGAACTGGGCTCACTGTTTTCATTCATGACGAATCGGATTGAATTTCAGTGGACAGCAAGTTCTGGGACCTCCTGGACGGCCTGGACGTGCTAATATCGCCGAGCGCGTTTTCGATGCTGCCAGACAACATGGAGCTGAAGCACTTAATTCGAGCGACCTTTCGCCTCGGGTAGGTGATCGAATGAGCACTTCCATCGTGGGCGATACTTCAACGGTTTGGCTTACTTCATAACTTGCAATCACTTGGATTTCGATTCTTGGGTTTCGGTATCTGTAGGGACCGTTTCGTAGCTCTAATAACCTATATTCTTAGCCTCGCCCTGGCCGTTCTGGAGGCGGAGTGCGTTTAGGTGAACCGAATCGAGAAGATTATAGCAGTGGGGAAAGTGAATCGGGTGAACATGAAGAGGTCAGTCATTTCTTTTTTCTTCCTAGTTATCTGGTTGTATTTTTTCTTCCCAGGTTGTGGTTGAGCTCATTATGTGGGAGAATGGCTTCTCCATCGATGACGGACCGCTGCGTTCTTTCGATGATCCGGCAAGCCAACAGTTTCTTGAAAGCATAATGCAAGGGTGGGCTTTGCCAGTTTCCCGTTCTCAAGGGCTTCACTCGCCTTCTTCCTCTTACATTCATGTTTTTGCCATAAATTTCATAGCGTTTTTTTATGAGTTTCAGTGCTTTTCTCCCTTAGATTCTTATGTTGCCTTGGTCGGTTGGTATCTCTGACACAGAAAGATTTCTTCTTCAACATACACATTACTTCAGACGAGTGCCAGCAGAAATTCTAGCTGCTCATCCTCGAAGACGTATTGATTTCCGTATGCAGAAACGTTCTGGACCTTATGAACCTCCGAAATTGAAGCCTTTCCAGGTAATACTATCACTTACTGACATGTTCTTATTCGTAAAGCGTTAGGTTCAAATGAAACATGATTTATGAACTCCAATTTNTTTTAAGGGAGCTGGAGTTCGTCTTGGTGCTGTGGTGCCAGAGATTGTGTCGTCCACACCACCACCATCTGCATCTGCGAACACAAGTTCGCTTAGTGGTGATTTAATCTTACCAATAACCTAATAGAGATGAATCATGCGCGCATTTAGATTCGGTGGACAATGTTGCGAAAGCACAAGCTGAAGTGAATCTTGATGCTGATGCTCCTGTTACTCAGGTAACTTTCAGCTATCATTATTGACGCAGTTCGCATTGACGTTTTCTTGAGTCATTTTTGAGCTTCTCTGTGTTTCTTTGCTCGTGATCTTTTCGCTAATGTAGGGTGATAGCGTGAAAGAAGAGTAGACGACATAAAAAGTACACTTACTCAACGCTAGAGATTCCATGTAACTCGTCCAATGCTTGAAATCTGGAGGTTGTGACTGACCTGAAACCGACTTAGGTTCAAATTCGTTTACCAAATGGACAGCGTGTGAGCGGAAAATTCAATCAAGCGCATACTGTTGGAACGATCAGAACTTTTCTTGTCACGTGGGTTTCCATGGCCATAAATTTCAAACTCATCAGTAGTTTTCTAACGGCAAATCCTGTTTAGCGCCTACCCGGATATGGCTGCTACACCTTTCCAGCTTATGACAACATTTCCAAACAAGGTAGGTTTCTATGCCATTCCAACTATTTTGCAGTCGGTTTACTGTATGATTTTGAAGGTAATCGATGACGAATCAATCGATCTGAAGGATGCTGGTCTTATTAACGCAGTTGTTGTGGCTAAGCTCTGTTCATAATTCTGTTTGCGGGTTATGCTAGCTCGTTCTTCTTTGAGTGAAATAATCGCGTGTAAATTTTCACCGGTTTTTGATTTTGATAACGCTAATTAATGATTCCTTTACCTACTACCACTGGAATTGTAAATGGTTTTACCGTGTGAATTATTTTAATTGATTTTTACCTTACTGCTTCCTATGCAGTCACTGGAAATTGTCATAAAACATTTCTTGTAATAAATCTTTTGGCATTTGTTCCAATTTTTTGCATAATCAGCGGTTCATGTACAACCATATATTTGACACTTGTGACTTTATTTCCTTACATTTTCTTTGTAGATTTCCATCAATAACTTATAGTTTGCCAAAATGGGTGTCATGGAGTTGCTGGGTGTCGATAAATTAATCAAGTTCGGAAGGATTATCAAGCAAATTGGAGGTGTGCGTGCTGCTTTGAAGAAGCGATATCTGTAAGCTTTCTTTACACTTTATAAAAAATTTTATACGTTAACATAAGATAACATAATAAGAATAGCGTATAATGTAGCTGTCGGCCCTTTATTTTTGATTTTTTTGGTATTCACTTGTATCAACCGTGATCTCTATTGGGTCAGTTTTTTTCAAACCTCTTTATTACAGTATGGATGTCACGCGTGCTGGAACACTAGTAGGGGAAGACAAGTTCGGCAACAAATACTACGAAGACAATTCGTATTTCGTGCCCCGTAATAGATGGGTTGAGTTCCCAGAAAAGGTAATCATTGGATCCGGTTTTGGTGCGGATTTCTACGTGCGAAGGCAAGCTTTAATGTTACAGGTATGGCTCGATTATGATGCATCACAAGTTCCTCCTGAGTGGTAAGCTAATTAA